TTGCGATACGCAGGTAAATAACAGCAACGTAACAGGTGTTTCAAACAGAGGCAGGAAACTCGATATGGAAACTAAATCCTTTTTTATAAAGGGAAGAGAAGTCAATTTAATTACACATTGATTCTGATTGAAAATGTTTGCGGTTAAATTTCAACATTCCAGGTGTGAGAAACCAACCAATATAAGACAAAACTACATAGAGTCTTATATAACGGATGTTTAAGATTTAGTAATAATTAATGAAATTAATCAAATTACACATATTAAAGACAATCAGTCAGAAAGTAAAGACCTCTTGAATAATTTAATATTTAATTTCAACAGTCAGTAAAATGAGTATCAAATCTGATTAGACAGTAAACTAGATTAATTTGCTGGAAATTTCTAAACTAACATTATTCATTCTCTTTGCATACATCCTGAGCTTCCCTCCACTCTAATGTATCTAATAGATACGCCCTGCAATTCCCACAATGCAAGGAATCTGACAGCGAGGAGAAGAAATGGAAACCAGTTGAATGAGTGCGTGATTCTATCTTATTCTGTTGCTTCACATTTCCCACTAAATGTTAAAGATGAGTGGGCGAGTGGGTGGCCATGTGGGTGAACCGCAAGGTGACAGGGCGTTGGTGTCCTTGCCTCTTTTCCGGCAGACGGATGATATATCACAGACACAGCCGAGCGGCAGGTGTACGCCACTTCACGCTCATCATCGCCTTTCTCATTAAGAGCAGGTGAGCCTTTTATTCATGCACTTGACTTTCAGAGCGCCCTGGGCAACACTTAATAGGGTCGACTGTTTTTAACCCTTTTCTTTTTTTAATAGGTACTACTTAAAAACGATTTAAAAGTTAAGAATCAAAGAAGTATTAAATAAGTAGAAGTTTTAAAAACCTGTATTATATCAAAAAATATTACGGACCTATTTTGTGAGGCTTTCAGAATAATTCTCTGAGTGCACTTGGTGGCCATCCAAAAAGAGGCAACATAAATGAACAAATGGGTCAGGTAGAGGTGATTATTAAGCCTTTACCCACGTGTCGTCTTTAGAAGTCATTTAACGTCACCTGGCGACAGATAAATGAGCGTCTTTTAAAAGCTTCATAAAATATGACAAGTAACTGGATATAAAACTTTATAATATCCACACATTAGCTTTATTCTCTAGGACGAAGACTACGAGGTTTGTCAAGGGAACAAGGATGATTTTTTAATTTTTTGGCAGTAGTTGCTCTTAAATTGAAGTGCAACCAAGCCAACTACAAGGTACTCACATTAATTATGGTAATTGAACTCTGGCACTGTACCGGAAAGGGCCAGAGGGGCGGTGTCCTCGCAAAGGAGGAATCATATTGAGACGTCCTCCGCAGAACCACAGACACATAACTCATAATGACATGAGAGTCGGTGGAGGCGAAGCCTAGTGTACCACCACAATACCCCCTGTAGACATGTAGGCGAGTCATCATTAAAACCTGTGGCAGGTTGCGGCCAGCCGCGCGACACGATTCCTCAAAACTAGTCAAGTTCGAGGCAGAGAGAGAAATTTTACATAAAAATGTACAAATTTACAATTCCCATCCTTACAATAAACCTATCTTAATAAATTTTTAATCAATTAACTATGTATAAAATATATTTTTTGAATGCTTGTTGAAAGCGAAACTACAAGACCTCTAAAAATAAAAGCAACATCCCAATGGCTGAAAGGATTGGTCTATCTATTAATAGAACAAGGCCGACTCATGGCCAAGGCCAAAAGCAATCAGCGAAATCAATCAACGCAAAAAGCACAACAATAAAAAATGAAAAGCAAAAATAAAAAATGAGCAGCAAAAATCTGTCTGAAAGGATACCCACACCTTTTTTCATTCCCTTGCATTGTGAGGATAACAATGCATAATTACTTATAATGATTTTGCTTTTTGTTGTGGATCTGAAGGGACTATTCCAGATTGCTTTTCTAGGCAACTTATTTGAAAGATTTAACCAAGTGACTCCAATTTGTCTGGGAACAGCTCATTCCACTTTCAATGATTATAAAATAATACAAATTGATTCGCCCATCATGCTTCGTTTATAAAATTTTTACAATATGGCACTCTAGATAAGCTGGAACATAATCTTTGAGCGCATAAGTGGCACGTAGCATGGATTTATCTGTGGCACGAGCTGCAAATAATGGTCCATACTACAACGAAACTTCAATGAGGTTTATTTTCACACCTTTATGAATGGCTTAGCAATAACGATTCTTAATTAAACATTGTTTTTTGCGCATTAATTTTAATAATTTCAGTTAAAAATTTCAAATATTCATTCATTTTTTCCATTATTTATTATTTATTTATTCCTGCAATACTTTGTTTTTTTTTTTTTTAAGAAAGACATTTGGTATGAAGATAAAAGGTGGGCAGGGAAAGGCGAGTTTCCTTTCTTTACTGTCACTGGCTCTCACTTTCTTCATCTGCGTTTATAGGCAAAACGTGACCGTCTACTAAGCCATTTCACACGCAAATTTTCCCACTCTGGTCCGAAGCCCAATGTCCCAAAAGTGCTTGTCCGGGTAAAAAGCATTAAATATTTATCAAATCAATAAACGTACTTCGTGGCGGATATATTATTCTTTTCCTTCGCTCCCAATTATTCGCAGTGAAATCTTTTTTTAAATAATTAATAATCACTAGATGCTTTGTGTTTTTAGACAGTTCTTGTTCCATAGACTCACTTAAACTATTTCTTCAACAATTTATGGCAAGACATGCCACATGTTGCTGGCTAAACTTGGCCAAAAGTGTTTTGTTTAACTTTCTTCGAGTATTTGACTTACAGAACTTGACTTACAGAAAAGTTTTAAGTCTTTAGATGCTATAATTTCAGGCCTAGAGCCTCTGCAAGGATCTCAATTTGAGTTCAGTTTAACACTTCCAAAGCTTTTACTTAAAACTCTTAACTAAATTGTTTCCCGCTTTGTAAGAGATCTACATTTTGGTTTAATAATTTTTTATCCAGGGCATGGGAAGACTATCCAGTCAGGTGGCAAGTGCAATATGTTTCTGACAAGCTGTACAGCACAGTGGTTTACATTCTCCAAACAAGCTCCACCTCCTTTCCTCTGGAGTCCTTACTGTCTTGGCATTACATTGATTGACTTTCGATGTCCACGCCCTGAGAGACTGTGGGATATCACTATCTCTGCTTGTTTGAATGGAACTAAACCTATTCTGGCACTTGGCAGTTGTCTCACGTAAATATATTCCCCTGGATGACAATATTGGTGTTGTATAATAAAATATTCGTTCCAAATTAGGAGAAGGGTACTCAACAAATACGGCTTTTTTGCTTAAGTGTTATTGATAACATATATATTTAAATTTTTTACAAGTTGTATAATGCACCAAATCAAATTAAAAAATCAATTAGTTTTACTTAATAGCATTCTCGTTTTATATTTTTATAAAAACTTTTCAATATGTTAGGCTGTTCATTAACGCTATGCCAGCCTTTGGAATGAAATTAAATTTCCTTATCATATTTGGATGTCTTATCCTTACTTTAGTCTGCGGAGACAAAGTCAATACGCATAAGTCCCCAAAAGACCGACCCGCTCATAGTCGATCCCACAATCTTCACAGGGCGCCGTATGAAGGATACGACTGGTACAAAACGTAAGTATTCGACTAGCTTTTAAAATGATAACCTTTAAACTAATTTTTTTTTTTAAATTCACAGCTATGAGCTTAATCTTGATCCTATAAAAAAGAAATCAAAAAAGAAGAACTCACTGGAGGATAAGTAACTATAAATGAACAAAAAAATTAAAAAAAGTAATAAAGGATTTCATATTAAACACTATTTTGGTAATTTTCCAGGACACCTTATTTTAGTTGTTGCCACAAAAAGAATAATTTCATTTAATCGAGTTAATTACTTCATGAAAGCTTAGCAATTTTCATATTCCCGAATTAGGACCTTGTGGTGTTGGGCACACCCTTTTGACCCACGTTCTAGCTACATCTTGCTAACCTTCTTGTCTTTCTTTTAGAGTTTTTTTGCTTCTATCCTTTCAGAGTGTTATCCTGACCGCAATCGAAACAAGATTTCCTTGGCAGTGACACTTGAGCAGCGAGCATTCTTTAATTTTGTATAGTCAAAAGGATTAAGGGCCGGGATAAGGGGAGCAATTGAGCCTGTCCGGCACGTAATGCCGTATCCTGGCAGCAGGTGAACAGCACCGAAACGAGTGGCATGCCAAGCACGTATACTGCGGCTCGGCAAGGATAAGGTTTCCCTTGCTTGTCCTGTTATTGTTACGTTTGCTGAATGTTTTCTTGCCTCTCTACTCAACAATCTGCTTCTGATGGTCAATGAATTTTATCAGTGAGGCCACTGGACAAGCTAAGCAATTGAGCCTTTTGTATAGAAATACATTGATCCGTCTGTTTTGTTTAGTAATCAGACCCTTTATTGGTCCATTTGTTTTCATTCGCAATCAAACAATTGACGCCCTATCTAGGGCATTTACAAAAAATTTTCATTAAGAAAAATAAAATACTAAAATTTAAAAAACTCAAATACCCAGCGGCCTTTTTTTAAATTCTGTTTAGCTTTTGGGTATATAACACCTTTCAAGCAAACTACATTGGAGTTGTACCAAATCCTTTGTTGTACAATATATACTTTGTAAGACACTGCAATAACCAGCACTAATAAACAACAAAATGAACTTCGTTTTAAACGAGTGATCTAAGTCACGCTAGACTTTGACATGTTCCAAGCCGAAAATAATTTTGTTTCTCATGAGCTTTCGTAATCTTAAAAGCAATTCTTGAGCTCAAACAGTTCAAGTTCATCATTTCGTTATCAAAACAGAAACTAAAGGGTATTTGCCAGCCGCACATGTTTGCCTCAATGTTAATACAAAAACTTTAAGCTTTTGAATTTTTTATAAACTAAAAGTTTCTATAAAACAATTTATTATGTATTTAAGCAAAATTGATTTAAATATTTTTCGATTTTATCATCATTTCAGCAAAGGTGACGGATCGCGAAAAGTCCCTTTTCCATAGCCACATTATTCCACCGTCCCTTGGGCTTTTACCATCTTCATCGTATGGGCCATTAAGTGCACTGAAAAGGTACATTTTAATCACAATTTTTACGTACAACTAGAGCGAGAAATATTTCTTACTTTTCATAACAATCATTATACCACCATCCGTTCAGACTCTTAGCGCAGTTATGATTTACCATGTCGTTGTCCCGATCAATTGTAGAAAACTTCATATTTTTGTTTTTAGCTATGTAGTTACCAGCTGTTCCTGAATATCCTTCGATATATTTTAGCTTGTAGGACTCTTCCTCGTCGCCGATTTCGAAATGAGTGTAGTGGGCGTGGGCGGAATCTCCGTCGGTATCCGCAATCCTAACACATAGTTCATGTTGTGAAGATGAGGTCATCAAGTGGAGTCTGTCAAGTCCAATAAAATACTCTCCTTGGATGTTGCCAAATCCCTCCTTGTACTCATTCCAGGTGCGGTTGAAGTCCACACTTCCGTCGAATCTCCTTTGAACTACTATCCATCCGGGTCCAGAAGCGCAAGGTCCATGAAAATGCTTCATTCCACGCAGTTTCATTTTGTATATTTCTTTTTGATTGTAAGGTGGAACATTGGAAATCTCTTTCTTTGCATTGCAGTGTGAAAGCTGATTGGTTAGCCATCTCGTGGCATACCTAAGTCCCTTAATATCCTTAGAGTTTTTATGAGGAGTATCCTGTTCAAATCTCATGGTACCTTTATTATGTCTATCATGATTGTCAAATACTATTTTTAAGAATTCACTATTCAAATAACAAAATTCTTCACAGTTTTGGAATTCATTTGTATCTGATACATTTTCAGCTGTGTCGGCAATAACAAAGTTATTTTTTTGGTGTAATAAAATATATAAAATCACTACTACAACACTCGACTTCATTTTGAGAACTGCCTATCTGTCTCACGGCAGACTTGAAACTATTCGAAGCCAAAAATTATTTAGTATTCTCTGATGTTTTCATTATCTCTAAAGCTCTATAAGAGTAAAAATTGTAAAGGGGCCTCTATTAATTTCAAGAGATCAAATACAAATTTTTGTGCCTAATACATATATATTATAATATGTAGATAGATTTATATGGATCTTTTTTGTGGATTTTAATATCCATTAAACGTGAAATATTATTGTAGAGTATTTTAGCAAACAGCAATTGCTTGAATATCTTGGAATATGTTTGAAAGTCAATGTCACGTGTTCTGGGTTCATGACCGATTCGTTTGTTTTAAATTTGCTTATGTAATATATGTGAACATCAACACAAAATGGTGTCAAGCTTAAAAGGCAAGGCTTACAAACCCATTGTCGAAGATGTGTTACAAAATCAAATAATTATTAGTCTTCTAACAATATGTTTTATTCAGATTTTTTTGACAAATCAGTAAGGAAATTTGGTTCCTTGGTAAATTTTTAAATGTCTTTAGGCAGTCCAACCTATCAATTCCTTAGCCTTGCTAGTTCCTTAGTTTGTCTATGAGTTTTTATTGAATTTTGCTTATCTCCTAAGCAGTTCATCAGCTAAAATTAATCGTATTGTTATCAGAGTCGGAACTAAAAGGTCTATATTGGTAAAAAAAATTTAATCTTTTTAGACTCTGTTAAAAAAAATCTTTATTTTATGGTTTTCTTTAAATATTTTAAAACATTATTAAGTCATTTAAGAATACGTTGCACATCCAACCACATTTATTAGGTATTTAAAAAAAAAGATTTATTAAATTTTAGATTTTATCATTATTTCTGAAAAATACACTGAATACGAATTCGTCTCTTTCCAAGGGAACCTCTTTCCTGAGCCGGTCAAGTCTACTCCATCTTCGTCGTATGGACCATTAAGTGCCCTGTAAAATAAATATTTGTTTATCCCTATTATTTAAAGCCTCAATTATTATTACAATCTATAAAATACACAGGAATTAAACCACCATCCATTGAATATTTTTGCGCAATGACGTCTGACTTTGTCATTGTCCCGATCAATAGTCGAAAACTTCATATTTTTGTTTGTTTCGAGGTAGTTCTGAGCGGTTCCAGAATATCCATCAAGAGATTTAAGCTCGTAGGACTCTTCCTCGTTGCCAATTTCGAAATGAGTGTAATGGGCGTAAGCGGAGACCCCGTCGAAATCAGCAACCCTAACACAAAGCTCATGATGTACCGATGTGGTCATCAAGTGTAGTCTGTCAAGTCCAATAAAATACTCTCCTTGGATATTGCCAAATCCCTTCTTGTACTCATTCCAGGTGCGGTTGAAGTCCACACTTCCATCGAATCTCCTTTGAACTACTATCCATTCGGGTCCTGAGGCACAGGGTCCATCAAAAGGCTTCATTCCACGGAGTTTCATTTGGTATATTTCTTTTGGATCGTAAGGTGCAACATTGGAAATCTTTCCCTTAGCTCTACAGTGTGAATATTGATTGGATAGCCATCTCTTAGCATACGTTAATGCTCTAACTTGCTGAGTTGATTCTTCAAGTTCATACCGCTTAATTTTTGACGTAATATCGTAATTTTTATCATGTTCTTTAAAAGATCCTACTAACTGATGGTTGTCGAAATAACAAAATTCCTCGCAATTATCAAATTCATTTATACTTGTTACATTCTCAACTGCGTCAGAACAAACAAAATGTATGTTTTGGCGCAATAAAATATGTAAGAGCACTGCTACAACACTAGATTTCATTTTGAAATCGGCCTGTCTGCCTCACCGCCGACTTGGAACTATTTCAAACCGAAAATATATATTGTATTCTCTGATCGTTTCATTATCTCTAAAGCTCTTTAAGAATATAAATTGTAAAGAGGCCTCTAAGGGGAACAAATAACAAGAAGGAAAAGCTAACTTGGGGCGGAGCCGAAGTGGATATACCCTTGCAGTTAAAACCGGATATATATCGTAAACATCGGATATAGTTGACCGACCCTTATGAGAATATCTAAAAGAACCAATTTATTACTATACAAAATGTACAAACAAGTCCCAGCTTCTATCTTTAAAACTTACCATAACATAATTTGTATTTTTTCCAAATATCGTTTCCAATTGTTCAGTTATATGGCTTCTATAAGATATATTCGGACGATCGTAATGAACTTTGGTAGTTCAGACATAAAAAAATATTTTGTCTCAGGATTTAAATGCTGAATGGTAAAGAATCAATCTAGAAATCGTTTAAGGTACTCCGCTTGAGAATCGGATGAGAATTGGGGAAGATATAGACATCACGATGGGCCCTATATGGGAAAACCGTATTTTCCAGGCATCCCATCACGAAAAATGGACAAAAAATCTAAAAAATATTTTATCTCAGGATTTTGATGCAGAATGGTGGGGAATCAATCTAGAAATCGTTTAAGGTACTCCGCTTGAGAATCGGATAAGAATTGGGGAAGATATAGCCATCCCTGTGGACCATATAGAGGAAACCACCATTTATAAGTGATCCCTCACTAAAAATGGACAAAAAATCTAAAAAATATTTTGTCTCAGGATTTTGATGCAGAATGATGGGAAATCGATCTAGAAATCGTTTAAGGTACTCCGCTTGAGAATCGGATGAGAATTGGGGAAGATATAGACATCACGGTGGGCCCTATATGGGAAAACCCCATTTTCCAGGCGTCCCATCACGAAAAATGGACAAAAAATCTAAAAATATTTTATCTCGGTTTTATGAGATGGTGGGAATCAATCTGAAATCGTTTGGTACTCGTTAGAATCGACAAATTGGAATAGCCATCCCTTGGACCATAGGAACCACCATTTATAAGTGATCCTACTAAAATGGACAAAATCTAAAATATTTTCTGGATTTGATGGATGATGGAAATCGATCTGAAATCGTTTACTTAATCGTTAGAAATCCCTTGAACCATCACCCATAAAATGGACAAAATTAAAATATTTTGTTTATAAAACAATGTTCCATCAATACATGTTTAGATTTTCAGGCGTCCCATCACGAAAAATGGACAAAAAATCTAAAAAATATTTTATCTCAGGATTTTAATGCAGAATGGTGGGGAATCAATCTAGAAATCGTTTAAGGTACTCCGCTTGAGAATCGGACAAGAATTGGGGAATATATAGCCATCCCTGTGGACCATATAGAGGAAACCACCATTTATAAGTGATCCCTCACTAAAAATGGACAAAAAATCTAGAAAATATTTTGTCTCAGGATTTTGATGCAGAATGATGGGAAATCGATCTAGAAATCGTTTAAGGTACTCCGCTTGAGAACCGTATGAGAATTGGGCAAGATATAGACATCACGGTGGGCCCTATATGGGAAAACCCCATTTTCCAGGCATCCCATCACGAAAAATGGACAAAAAATCTTAAAAGTATTTTGTCTCAAGATTTTGATGCAGGATGGAGAACATTTTTTACCAGCCATAAACATAATATTTTTAGTATTCTAAAAATTTTATTTGTTCTTATTTTTTGGTCGATATTTCCCCATTTGGCTCTTATTTACACCCTGCTAAGCTTGTAGCCAAGTTCTTAGCTCTTCTAGCTCTTGATTTTGTCTATGAATTAAAATTGAGTTTAGTTAATCTCATACGCGATTTTTCAGCACAAGTTCAACTTATTGCTATCAAAGCGGGAACTAACAGGTCAATATTGGACGCTCATTTATTCAAAAAAGTTTAATCGTTTTAGCCTGTGTTTAAATTGTGTAGAACTGGTTTTTTGTTAAATAATTTAACAAATTTTTATTAAGTTGATTATTAAGTAGAAACATTTATTAAGTATTTTAGATAAAAAGGTTTATATTTTAGATCTTATCATCATTTCTGAAAAATAGTGGGAATATGTAAAGCTCCGTTTCCAGGGTAACTTCCTTTTTGAGCCGTACGAGTCTACTCCATCTTCTTCGTATGGGCCATTAGGTGCACTGTAAAATATATATTTTTATATCTTTACTATTTAAATAGTTAATTATAATCACTATCTATAAAATTGACAGGAATTAAACCACCATCCATTGAATTTCTTTGCGCAATGAAAACTGTCTTTGTCATTGTCCCGATCAATAGTTGAAAACTTCGAGTGTTTGCTTGTTACGTAGTAATTACGACCTGTTCCTGAAAATCCATCAAGATATTTTAGCTCGTAGAATTCTTCCTCGTTGCCGATTTCGAAATGAGTGTAGTGGGCGTAGACGGAGTCTCCGTCAATATCCGCAATCCTAACACAAAGTTCATGTTGCGCCGATGTGGTAATCAAGTGCAGTCTATCAAGTCCAATGAAAAACTCTCCTTGGATATTGCCAAATCCCTCCTTGTACTCATTCCAGGTGCGGTTGAAGTCCACACTTCCGTCGAATCTCCTTTGAACTACTATCCATCCGGGTCCAGAAGCGCAGAGTCCATCAAAATGCTTCATTCCATGAAGTTTCATGTTGTATGTTTCTTTTGGATTGTATGGTGAAATATTGGAAATCTCATTCATTGCATTGCAATGTGAAAGCTGATAAGTTAGCCACCTCTTTGCATATTTAAATTTTTTTACGTCATTCGAATTTTTACGTAGATCAATCTGATCAAATTCCATGGTACTTTTATAGTCTTTATCATGACGGTTAAATTCTATTCTTAGGAAACCATTTTGGGAATAACAAAATTCTTCACAGTTTTCAAATAGATTTGAATCTGTTACATTTTCAGCTGTGTTGGAACTAACAAAAAGTATTTTTTGGTGTAATAAAATATATAAAATCACTACTGAAACACTTGACTTCATTTTGAGAACAGCCTATCTGTATCACGGCAGACTTGAAACTATTCCAAGCCGAAAAAGCTTTATAAACAGAAATCAAAGCACAACTAAAATTTTTTTTGTTTGTTGAGCTTATTACCGATTAGGAGGCATTTAAAAATATATAGTTCATTATTTTTGAGAGTAGAAATGTGATGAGTATTTTTAAAAGTCGTTTTTGGGTTATCACAATTCGTCTAATACAACTTAAGCGTGTATATAAACAACAATAAAAAGCAAACTTTTATTATTTTTATAATTGGGATTCCTCATTCAGCTTTCTTTCAGTTCATTGTCAACCTCCCACTTTGGTTGGGTGGGGTATATGTTGTCACATTTCCGCTTATTAAACTACCAGCAATATAAATCACAAAACCGAGAAAGAGAAGAAAACTTTCAACACTTTCTTGAACACCCAAACTACTTCATTAAAACACGCCAGTCACTAAAAAAGCGAAAATAAAATTTTTGTATGTTTTGTAACTATGTGCTCTGCATTGAAATTGAATGTTGAGATTATTATTTGCTACATTTTTGCATTTGGTCAATAAGCTGCTCATGATTGACACGATTGCGTAATTTTGTTTACAATTTAGGTAATACTTTTTTTAATTTGTAATATATAAGTCGAAACAAGCCTTTCTTCCACCCAAAAGTGAGACAAATTTTGTTTGGCAATTTTTTAGCCTTTTTTTTATCTCTAAGTCATTTCAATGATTAGCATGAATTATGTTTGATGTGGTAAGTATTTAATTATTTTTGTTGTTAGCCCGATATGGATCTTGTTAATATTTATTTTTGAGTGCAATGACCTGTAAAATAATTCGTTCCCAAGGCTCCACAAATGTCGTAAATGAGAACCTGGCGCTAACAAAATGTTTGATGGCTTTTGCAGACAATAACTTTTGGCAGCCACTGTGGCGACTCAATATATCCAATGACTCAGGAAATGTGTCATCCATTTATTTTTATATAGACTCCAACTTCGCACAGATAGTTTTGAAAACACTTGAATAAATTTAGGCAGAATGAAAAAGTAGCGAGCCCAATGTTTATAAAAACAAAGCCCTGAAAGCCAAATTCCTTTGCAAATATCGAGAATGCCGTTGAGCAGAAGTAGAACCTGAGAAAATTACACCCGCCAGGGGCGAAAATTTTCCCTGTGACGCGACAGAAGTGCCGGCAACGACGATTGAATTGCAGACTTACTGACAAAATAACCACCTGACTGATTGGCTGAATGACTGACTGACTGACTGAGAAACTGGCAAGCAGGCCGTGTGAATAATTGGCAAACTGCAGCTGAGGCCGCCAACTCTCTTATGCAAATCAGCACGTCGATGGCCATGGTCTAGGTCCAGACAATTTCGCCGGCAATTTTCCACCAATTTTCGCACATTTGCCAACAGCTGCTTTTACATTTGCCAGGACACAATCCATTTCCAGGGGCGGAATGGCAAGGACCACCCACGAAACATTACATCATGCGGGGCCTGACTGCTAATTAAGTAGGCGTGGCTTGTGTCTGTTTTACTATAACCTAATTTAAATGGAGACCGCCCAAGGAAAAACAGGAATATTTAAGTTTGAAAATTCTTAAAGAACCAGTTCTACTTTCTTGTACTCACTGGTGGCATTTTCATTTCCGGTTTGCATTTTGTTTTGTTTGGGCTTGAAAATTTGTGATAAGCATAGCTAATAGCAATAGTAATAATTCAATATCAATTATATAATTTGCCAAATCTGGTTAACACCTTTTACTTCCGTTTCGCCAAATATTAGTTAATAATTAAAAGCTCATTTCCATAATAGATTTTATTTCATTGATGCAATGAAATATATCAGTTGGAAAATATATGCAGAATCAGTTAAAAGTAATTTTTTAATATCATTTGCTGTTAATGATAAAAAAAAGGCATTTAAAAGTGAAACTAAGGTCAACAAAGGTATAATTAAAGTAAATGCCATTAAACTTTCCAATAAATTATTATTTAAGACACAAATAAATCATAAATTCTTAATCGATGTTTGAAGCCAAAACCATTTTAAGGGTCTTTGATTTTTCAGCTTGTAAAATACCTTATAAATTTATATGCTGATGCATATCTAAAAGCACGGCTAGACTTTTGCCAAACATTCAAATAATAGCAGCAAACATTAAGAATGCCAACTTGTAGCCAAATGAACAACAAGAGCCGGCCCTCAACTTGGCCAAGACGAGTCTGTCGACAAGCTAAAAGTTTGGTTAAAAATTCAAAAGGTTGCATAAAAGTTTAAGGACGTTTTAAGGAATTTGGAGGGAGGATACTGGGATCTGAGTACTAAACTATTAATCGTAGCTATTATGCCAGAGGTTTGTTTAATGGATTTATAAAAAATGCATTCAAGCTCTGCCAACACTCACTTGAATTCAACTCATGGTTTGTTAATGCCATTCATTGAATTCATTATTTGTTGTTGCAACCGAAAGCACTTCTGATTTACAAGGTAAATTGTGTGGCATATTGCATTGATGCAAAATAAATAAAGCAAGCAGGGAAAATAACAAATGGTTGAAAGTATTGAAACATTTATAGTGTGTATATGAATATGAAAGCAATAAAAAATCTTCATTATAAATAAAAACAAAATGTAGTCACAGTTTTTGAAAAATTATTCTTAAATACATTAAAACTTAATTACATGTTTAAAAAACCAAAATTTGTTTAAAAAAATACAAAATTAAAATGAAAGTTTAATCATAAAATAAAAATATTTCCAACTCCCGACAAAAATTACCTTCTTAGTCAAATTCTAAACAGGTAATAATAAAACCCGCCTGTTGCCGGAGGAACGAAAGCTTTAAGTTGTAAGCTGAAAGATTTTAGAACTTGCAACATGAGTTCGATGCAAACATGTTGCAGTGGCTGTCGTGTGGGTGGCAAGTATTAATTGCAACGTTTACCAACTCGTCCCACCGCTGCCGCCCACACATGCCATGCGAATAAATCCAATGGCACCAAGTTGTGGCCACAATTTTCTTATATTTTTTTTCTCCATGCCGCCTACCCAGAAAATCTGGCTGAATTCAGGCAGCAAATAAAACGGGGCACACCGTCCAGTTAGACAAGCACTAGTCACCTGGTTAGACCCCAAAAGGTTTTGAGGTGGGCGGGCCCACGGGGGTCCTCCACTCGCTTCTTGCCTCTAGCCTCTCACCTGCATTTGCATTTTATTTGCATTTCAGATGGAGCATGATTAAGCAATAAATTCACACCAACCCAAGACAAACAGAACTTCGGCAACTACTTCATGCAACTGCAACTTTTTGCGTAAAATCCCCGGGAGTGTTGTTAACGGTATTACTTTATTCAACAATCAGTTTACTTAACAACCTTTTCTATTTATATAAGTATGCCATTGATTTGCATTTGTATAATGTTGTTTCCCTCATTGAAGAGCGGAAACCACCGCAGCAGAGGGAGAAAGGTGTAAATATAATGAAAAAAGTCGATACACAATATTATTTCTTGGTGTGTGCACAACAGGTGCCTAAGGCAGACGATATTGATAGGCGGAAATTCAATAAGGCAACTTAATTTACTGCACAAAGTGAGTGAGGTATAGTTGCACTTTCTGCTAGACAACCAGAATGGAATAAGAGTGGAAACTAACGGGTCATTGTGGGTGCAACATGTGGCAACTTTAAGACGATGCTCTAGGGACAACTATCTAATTCTAAATCTATTCTACTACTATCTACTCAAATTAACTAAGAAAAACTCTTAAAATAACTTTAAAAAACTGTATGTTTTTTATTTCATACATTTCTGGAGCATTAGTATTTAAATTTAAAAAAAATTAAGAAATATTCCTAATTACTTAATTGTAAAATCATAAATTCTTCAATTATTTACCCTTATACTAGTTTTACGTCTACAAACGTCAAATTCTTTCCACCCATTTTATCCAATATAAAACTTTGTAATGTATGCTCCGTGATTGACTTTGATTCCTTGGCTCATAAACATTTAACCAAGCATTATGTGGGTGGAAGGATGGTTTAGGACCACGTGGTAAAGGGACACAGTAAAGTGTCCTTGTGGCAAGCGGATAATATATCACAAACGCAGACGTGCGGCATGTGCACCCTTCTCCACCCCGTACCATTTTATTTCTCATTACGGGCAGCCTGACGGGGAAAAGTGGCCAACCGTTTATTTATGCACTTGACTTTTCGCCTTTGTAGGTGCATTCCGGTGCACCCACCTCTCTGAAGAGATTTTTGCACCTGTCCACGCATTTTTAAGGGCTTATTTTTAGAGCTTAAATATTGACCATGTAAACTGATTAAAAAAAGTTGGTGTTTTTAAATTAAGGCATTACCTATGTAAGCCGCCTCATTTAACTTCATCTCTGTTAGTTGGTTAGATGTTCTTTCAAAAGTAAATAATCTGGAGTCCTTTTCCATTTATTTTATCTACTCACTGATAGTTGGCGTTTTAAGTAAAAGCTAACAGCCAAAAGAATGCGCTGATGATGGCTCGAAAGCTTAAACCGTCTACATCGAAGCCGGAAACCATTGGAGCCCAAAGAAAAGCTTTACAAAAACGACATGTAGATAAGTTTAGGCCAAGTTAAGTTCAAGTACAGAGTAAAAAGCTTTCAAATACTTTATAATAGGAAAAAAATAAAAAGCATTTTGAATCTTTTTAAAATGGATTTAAAACAAAGGTTAACAAATGTTTATAAAATTCTTAAACACATGAAAACTGACTAGGAAAATATTTGAATTTTTAAATTTTTGTAGCCTAACATTTAACCTTTTTAAATAAATTATATTATAGTATAAATAAAATAAAATATATAAATTTTTTGGCTCGGAGACCTAATTTTCTAGATTTATAAAAAAAAAATATTCTCACAACTTACATATTCTAAATGATTTTTATATTGATGTTATAGTTAAGCAATTATTATCAACCATAACATTTACTATCATCTAATTTCCTTCATTAGGTTTGGTGGTTATTTCTTGTTTTCCAATATAGTTGCTTCTTATTACTCATACGCAGTGTTGTCGTGGGCTTGATCTTTGTTTGCATTCCCATTTTATTCCATGCTATGTTTATTACAAGCACATTTCTTTTTACGTTTGAGCGAATAGCAAATTAGCAAACTTTTACAAAATTGTTTATGGTAGAAAAATGTGATTTGTATTAAAACTTGGAGTTGATTACAAATTTACATTGATTACAAATTTTTATTGTTAAAATTTAGTTTTTGGACTTACAATGAATAAATGAATAAATTGCCATTCATGTGAAGAACTGCACTGTGTTGTTTTATAAATCATTTAAGATCGACCTCATTAGGAGTGAAAATAATAAGCCAATATGTGGATATGCAATATGCCAAAACTACACCTCTCTCTTCTTCATTAAACATCATTGATTCTCGGCCATTGTGCAATGATTCCGATTGTATTTCATTTTAAGCGATGCCATTACTCATTAGAAGAAACTGAATGTCAAAAATGAAAAGTAAATACAGCTGCAAAACATGTAATATTATCCCAAAATGGGGTGAGTTATATTTTTGGGAATGAAATTTAGAATGTGGATGACTATTCCACTATTTCGGCTATCTGATTTTAGTTTTTTGCAGCCCCCGCGGGTCCTTTTGGAGCTGGAGGTGCTACAGCGTAGGCGCCGCCTACCGATATACGTGCGTAGGTGACCGGCAGGGCAACAACACAAATCGCATCCCAAGAACTTGCCCCATTTGGATTCCAGCGAATGGCAGGCAGCTAATATAGCTTTAAATCAAAGCGACCCCGCTCCGCTGACGTCATTGCAACAACAACAGGATGCAGCATTAAATGAGTGGGCGGACAGCAACTTGCCCCATAGCCGGGACACGAACCCATTGGACGCCGGCTTCTGAGGGACAAGCTTTCGATTGAAGAAGCAACAGGAGCAACCAGTTGAAGTTGAAACGATGTGCCGACTCCATCGACTTCGGGCCGAATCGTTGGGGTTTCGGTTTTGGCGGGTTGGTATAAAACAAGTCTTTGGTCTCGTGGCCGTTGCATTCGTTCGTCGCGCTTCGAAAGTAAAATATCCAACAACTGACAACCAACTAACAACCAAAAACCGTATAACCTATACGGCTTAACACTTTTTCAAAATCAACTAAAAAGAGTTGAGGTTTAACTCGTTTTTGTGTAATTTTCTCACAATTGGCGATTTAAATTCCAGTTAATTGAGTGGAGAAAAAGTGTAGCCTACATTTGTGCGCTATCATTGATTCCCATTTGAACAGAATTCCCAGTTTAATTGAGAAACTTTTTAACTGACTTTGTACTTGAAATTCCGCGAAAAGGTTGATTTTAAGTGAAGTTAAAGAAACTTGAGTTGCATCAGTGGTTGCGATCGAAACATTTGAATTGAAAAAATTGTACAAAGCATATAGATATTGTACAACAGCTTAAACGTTTATTACAGGTGAGTTTATTTTTACAATAATAATAATTATATTAAAAGACAGAAAAGAGTTCTTAAGAAAGTTATTTTTAAAACAAAACGCATCAATTCAACGTGGGCATTCCTTAAGCTCCTGTGAGTCATTTTTAATACCAAAAGGCAATTAAAATTCATTCAAAGTATTCTCACTTTTTCCAAAAATGTGGGTGGTAGAAATGGTAGCATTAAAGCCATAAGACCCATATCAAAAAAACATCAGCTTCTTGTCAAACAAAACTCATAAAATATCCATAATTGTCTATCAATTCTTTTCGCGATGTTTTTCTAGTCTAGTCAGAGGAATCTCATAAACCCTTTAAAACAATAAAAGGCTTACAGAACGAAGGACTTTTAGCTTCTGTATGCAAAAGATTTTAGCCTTATTTTCTTGTTTCTATTTAAAAAATATTTTAAAGGTTGACAATAAATTATAATTATATAGTATCTTTAAATAATAATCGCTAAGTAAGCTAAACAATATCAGTAAACAACAAAAAGAACCGACACGAAAACAAAAGAAAGATTTCTGTCATTTGATAAAAAGAAATTATAGAACTTGTGGGCGTGTCGCTGAGACTTGGAAATCGGGTGTTAACTTTAATGACACATGGGTAATAAAAAAACAGGAAACATAAGTGGAACAAGTAGATGAAATCACAAGGCAGGAGACAAGTAATTTAAACCAAATTTTCTTTACCAGATTGGGCACGCTTCTTGTTGATGACAATCACTTAAAATTGGTTTAGGTTAAAGTTGAGTCAAGAAAATACGTTTTTTTGGATGGTAAATATAAGTTAATACGTATTAAGGAGATAATTAATGCACACAGATTCTTGAATTAATCAAAAATAGTTCTAATTTGAAATGTTACATGCTAACCGCATAACCATTAAAGATCATTTTGTTTGTATATCTGGAAATGGTCAGTACCAATAGTGTCTTTTTCTGTAGAACAGAATATTTTTAGAAACACTTTATATTTAAGTTATACATTCAAGAGTCCAACCGAGGCATTTTTGAAAAGTTTTTTTCTCATTTATAATGCAGAACGGGTTTCAGTGTTTTTCCGTGTTCCTGCGGCCAAAGTTCAGACCATCCTGTCGGTCTGTGTTGTTCGGTATTTGCATTTAAATATTTTATTTTTTCGTTGGATATTTGAGAATTTGCACTCGAGCAGTGCCTTTGTGACGTCAGGGGAATGACAACTCTTCCTAGTCGGCAAAGAAAAGTTATTAGGACATTTATCACTCACATCCGTTGCCAACATCCGTTACTGTGCCCTGTCGATTTGCATAAATAATTCTGACAGGTGAGGCACGAAACCAAAGCTAAACAGGCCACAATAAAGCATCGGAAATTGCATTAATTAAACCAATGTGTATAAATTTTAGAATTAATTTTGACACATTTGCCACGTTTGAGCATAATACATTATGTAGCCGGCTGACAATTTAATTTTGTTAATCAAGTATTTAAGAATTGCAGAGCTTTAAATTTTAAGACCCACATCAGGGGGAATATTGTTCAGAGGTCCTGTCAGAAAGTTTAAATCGAAAGAAGACTAATTTATTCAAATTCGATTGCCAGAACACATGTGTATAAGCAATATTGATTTCAGTGGGTAACTTAACAATAAAATTGAGGCTTGGACTGTGGCTGCAAACTGATTTACAAATGCCAGACAGAAGTGTCGAGCGGGACAGAAGCCGTCGGCAAATGTTTTTCCTTGGCTTCCGGCGAAAGTCAATGCCACAATTTGGGGCACACACACTTCCACACGCACATGCCAACACAAATAAGCCACCGCAACAACAAAACTAGATATAAGCAACAACAAACAAACGAAAACAATCAAATGAAGAAAAAATAGGAGAAATTTCAAATGTTTAGGGGGAGGGCATTCGAGGCAGCCACCTGCCGGTCAAATAATTTATCCTGTCTGTCCTGCAACCTAATTAGCTGCCTCATGCAATTTTCCACAACATTAAACCCACAGAAAAGGGCCTAAGGACACAAGCCCAAGCTGAAGATAATGAAATTAATTCCAGAAACACAATAGTTGCACCTACATAACAAAGATTATACAATTAAGCCCCGGATAGAGTTGTCCTATTTAATTGTTAAGCCTGTTAAGACAGAAAATCCAGACATTGTTTCCCCAGTAAACCCAATATGATAAAATATGCAGAGATGACAGGTGAGCAATCAACAGGTGCACAGCCGCTTACCTTTGAACTATTCTCCGCCTCAAACGGGTGACAACAGCTCCACCTCGGAGGCGGCTTCGCACTGAGGCTGGCACTCCTGGAAAGGTGTCATAAATCGTAAGTCCTTTATTACATATTTTCAACTGGCTTCCAGCTGTCAGGATCACAGTCGACTGGGAAAAGGGTAAACGAACGGCAAGCCCAGCCAGGAGTAGACTTAGGAGTGAATTATTCAGACGGATAGTGTGCAAACATGTGTAATGGATGGCCCAGACAGACTAGAAATGAATCCTTCGGCTTGTTCTATTAAAAATAAAAAAGGTTTTGTTCTGCTGGCGATGCAAAAAAAGCGGGTCTTAAATACTTTTATTTTATGATGCTTCTGGTTTCCATTTATTCAAATCTGAAACTTATTTTTAATTAAGTGTGCCTAATACATTTTAGTGAAACTAATAAGATTAGTTTTTCCAAGCAAAAAAAATTAGTTAGCAATAAAATTCAAGAATCAAAACTTTTGATAGAAAAGTATTATATTTTGAGTAAAAAAAAAGAATCATAAGCACTTAATCCTATCAAATGATGTTTAAGCTCTTCCAAGCTAGTTTCCACGAGCTTCTAATTCAAAACATTTTTAAAAATAGCTTGTTTCGAAGAAAAGATATTGGCAACTATTTATTAACTGAACAATAGACAACAAATTGGCTTAGACCAAGTCCAGTCAACCCCAAGCCTGATATTAACCACTTTGCGAGCAGGCCAAGTAATTTGATTCCCCTAGTTGCTTTTTTCCGCCCCGAATGCTTTCATTTCCGCCAGATGCCATACAATTTCTTTGCGGGCCCTCTCTGGTCTTCTGTGCAATTTGAATGTGATAAGCAAACACAGTTGCTGGCCACAGTTTGTGCGGCCCTATATGTGGGAGGAAAATAACTTGAATCTGTCATCGGGATATGTGTCGGGTATGCTGCCTTGAACTTCTTTCAGAGTTCAGTAAGAGTAATTGCACAGTCAGACTACTTTGGCCACTAAGACCGCCCATAATTGTTATAATTGCTTAGTTGGTAAACTATTTTAATTGCTCGTACGTGGCCGGCCACTGGCTCCTGTCACCCATCCTTGTCACATGGCCATTAAATCAGTTTGATGAGCTGCCAATGAGCTGGGTCCCGTGTCCTTGCCCGACCCGGCCATTTCGAAAACAAGGCCCTCACACTAATGAGCTTTCGTCAACGTGGCGTATACATGATGTGCAGTCGGCCGGCGACAAAATCAAAACCAAACAACGCGTACGGGCAATGTGTTTCTGTTTGCCATTTTATGGCCACCAACTAACGCTGATTTATTGGTAGCAGCCTCTTTAGTTGTTCCGTGGTATGGGTTAAATGTGATTCACGGTGCCATTGAATAAATTCGAGGCCTACTTCGGTTTTAAAATAATATTTTGACAGCTTAAAAACCAAAGACAAAGGGGGAAAAGCTGTGAAATAATGTCGTGTTTATTTTGATGGTTTAGGGATTCCAATAGCTTATGCCAAAACTGGTTTTGTAATCCGTTTTGCGACTTTAAAATCATACAATTCATTGTAGGAATAAATATCACTCTTTGAGAACACACTGCATTTAAAGCCATCGTTTGTTTCCGTCGCTAATGAGCCAACTAGGATTCATAATTATTTCAAGCCTCCGCCAGCACAAGGACCTAACACTTTAAGTGTGTACGGCATTTAAATTCTTGAGCTTTGTTAGCATAATTACTCAACACGTTTACAAATGTGGCCCAAGGGCAAGCCAAGTTGGTTCTTAAAGGCTTGCCAACGGGAAATGTAATTGGCATTTGATGAAAATACGAAAAACGCGTTCCAGGAACTTTGCCGCCAAAAACGAAAAAAATGTAAAGTGTCAACAAGTTGTGCGGCCAGAGGTTTCAGGCACTCAAATATAATTTCATTAGCTAATTAATTGCCAAGCTCGTTACGTTTCGAATGAGGAATTACCAAAGGGCAAAAGTATTTATAAACTGAGAACTGCGAACTGGGAACTGAAAACTTAAATAAGCGAGAAGGACCCTCATAAATTGTTTTAGACAATTAGGCTGGCGAGAGAATTAGCTGCGACAACCAAACGGATTGGCAAATTAATCTCCAAGCTTTTCTTTTTATTCCTTTCAATTATTCAAATTGAAATTAGCGAGTTGACATTTGAGGAAGCATAAAAAATGAATCCAATTAAGCGGGAAAAGTGGTGGGGAAATCATATTTCCCAGCAGCATCTGCAAATGCTGCCAAGCTTGAGAATTCATCATAAATTTTCAATTAAGCTTTTGTGATTTTAGGCAAGGCCAATCAAAAGATCTGGTCAAGGAAAATCAATAAAAAACACATAAGAAATATTTCAATGTTTTGAAAAATAACAATAGATTTTAACCTTTAAGAGTTTGAAACTAAATCTTGGCTAAGAGCCTCCTAAAAGGCTTGTTTTTTGCTTGTAGCTAAAGCTAGTAACATTTATAATAAAGTTGTGACTTTTTGCCCAAATACTATTGACAAATCACAACTAACGAGTTTGCCAAAAAGTTTCATCTGATTTTTTTCAAAGAAGCAAGTCTGGTTAACGACTTCTTTCAAAACCTTCAAGAGCGACCCAAAGCCAAAGCCAAAAATCAATTTGACTTTTACGAAGCAAATGTGAACAATTTATCACACATTTTTCCATCGGAACTTAATTATGTGAATCCATGTGCAATATAGCACTGGCCAGTCAAATGACGGTGGAAAC